TGCTGTTGCTGTTGCTGTTGCTGTTGCTGCTGCTGCTGCTGGCCAGGACCACTACTGTCAGGTTTGCGGTCTTCATGGACCTCAACCTTGACTTTTTCCTCACCTTGGTCCTGGTCATCTTCCTTTTTTATCTTAACCTGACCTTCAGCCACTGGTGTGCCTGGATTGGGCCCGCTAGGACTGGGGTTGACGTAATTGGGTGAGTAATAAGTGTCATAGTTGGGATAGTTGGGATAATCTTTGCTGGGTGTCTGGTTCGGAAACAGCGCTTTTTTGACACTTTCCCTGATGGCTTGGTCCTCTGTCCTGACTTTGACACCTTCAAGTCTCCCTTCACCATCCTCACCAGCATCTGAAATGTCTGAATATGCTGGGCTATTGGTTTTGACTGAAGAGTTATCAGCACCATTCTGGTTCGCCACGTGAAGCGGCGTGAGAGGCTGTGGCATTCCACTGCCATCTATCCGACTGGCTACACCAATGGATGGGCTAGGGGCATTGTCAGAAAAGCTGTAAATCTTGTCAGCCTCAGCCTTGATGCTGGCCAAGCGACTCTGATGTGGATCTGAGGAACCATTGAGGAGTCCTTCCCCTTTATTTCCCTGATCACAAGGTTCAGAGTACGGAAGCTTTCCTTCCTCCAGTTTTCCTCCCTTTCCCGGAGGTTTGGGGCTGTCAGCCTCCTTCCCCCCATCTTTTTTCTTCTTGTCTTTCTTCTTCTTGTCTTTGGAGCTACTCGAAGCAGGGTCTCCAATGGCAGGAGGTTTAGGCTGTGTGCCTTTCATTTGGGGACTCTTGGGGATTCCTTGTATCATTGGGGTAAGCCCCGGGGAAGAATTTGGGTTTCCAGGAGGAAAAGAATACATCTGTTGGGATGTTGTAGAGCCAGTGCCTATGGGCCGTGGTGACTTCATGTTTTTCTGGGACATTTTATCAGCCTTTGTGCCAGTGCTACCCTTTTTGGACCCCCTCTTATCATCTATACCATCGTTACTGGCCTCATCAGTAAGGCATAGCCCATCTTCGCACCCGTCTGTCGGTGTACCCCCCGTTTCTGGATCGGTCTCAGCTATTTTCTTTTTACTCTGCTTTGAACCAAACTTTCCAGGAGATGGGGAAGGGCTTTGAGCATCAAAGTTCCTGCCTTTTGGAGTAACCGAACGTGCTGGAGACAAGCATCCTTTCTGAGAGATAGAGGCTCCATTACAGTTCCCTGGTTCAGGGTGGAGAGTTGAGTCCTCTCCATATTCACTGTCTCCATCTAATTCCAACTTTATATCATCATCATTGTGGGCACGGGCTTGGTGGTACTTCAGACCATTGATGTGCTTGTACTTCTTGTTGCAGTTAGGGTGTGGGCAGTCAATGAGAACTGGAGAGGGGCAGCTGCGATCGAGGGGAGGTGGAAGTGGCTCAGTCTTAATAGAAGGGATAGGGAGACCTGCCGGTCCCACCCCTCCACTGTTGGAGTTTGTCCGCATACGTTTGTTGCCTTTGGTGTCCTCTGAGCTGGAATTGGGTTCCATGTCTGAGGCTGGTTTGGTCTTGCGTTTTCCAGCTGAGGAGGGACTGGCCTTGATGTCCTCTGTGTTGGAGTTAGGCGGGGTGCGGCGCTCTGATGGCGTCTGGCTACCCCTCCGGCCCTTGCTGTTAGAGGCAGCGGCACGCGTCTTGTTGTTGGTGGTGCCCTTGTTGTCTGATGAGTTGCTGTTCTCGTTGATAGGGGTGTTGCTATTCGGTCTCATTCGCTTACCTCGACCACGGCCATTCCTCATCTCAAGATCACTTGTAGGGGATTCACAAAACCTGCAGTAGTGGGGAAAGATTAAAATGAGTGATCAGTAGTTGATTTAAATACAAATCAGTGTTTAGTTAAGATTCTAAAATGATACAATGGAAATTAAGGTACTCATTTTTAAATCAACACTGCTGTAGGGACTCAATAATACAATGCTAATTTTGCCCATTGAACTGGATTTCATTTTTATTGTTTTACAACAATACATCTCTGTGAATATAATTGGCTTTTTTGACCATTATCTATAGTCTTTCGTGTTAAAATTACAACTAACTGATCTTAATAATTACAAAGATAAACAAAAGTATAATAATAAGAATATCCCTAAATCCACTGGAACAAACAATTGTGTTCAGTGTAATGGATAGAAGATATGATCTTATGTTCAATACACTTGTATCTGAAAGGTCCAGAAGTGTTTCACAGCTACGGTGCAAAGTAAACCCCAGTAACTCTAAATATCCGTGAGGTAACATGGACTTAAAACATGAAGTTAAAAGGAAAAACAGAAATGTTAATGATCTCTAAATGCTATGATCTCCTATTCTCTTAAAGATACTATTGTTTACCTGTATTCAAAATGTATGTACAAGATTCTAGGCCATTTCTGTGCTTGGCCATACCCTTTCTAAAGTTTGTTTGTCCTACAGGAAGTCTGCTTATTCTTTCACTGAGAATCTCATATACAGAGTTATTTACTGTACTGGTATGCCAAATAACAGGCCACAATTACACATAGTCTCCTAGGAATCTCAGAAAACAGAAAAGTCATAACAGTAATACCAAGAAAGACAATACTAGGAGGTTTAAGTCCTTTAGATTCCTAAGCCTATAATAAACAATAGCAATGATATCAAAATATGTCCACCATTGTTGTGTCCCTGTCTTCTAATAACATACCAATCTGATATTTTTGTACTCTATAAGTGAGTAAGCACTTTAAACAAATCTACATGACTTTCCAAATGAAGTCCATACAAACATTATCTGAAAAGACAGCAGTGAACATTGTGACTGCTTTGTAATCAAAACACAGAGTCATTCAAATACTTAAAATAGCAGTCTGGCCTTATCTCTCCATAACAGTAATGTAATTATCTTTCTGCACAGCAGTGAAGGTTAGCAATCTGTGACAAAGAGAGACACCGGGCTGGTATGACTCACAGCTTCCTCTACAAGTCTCTCCAAACAATTTCAGCCCCAGCAGGGGATGTGAATACATCCGTAGTCTGACAGTGGTAGAGGAATTTAGACTCATTACAAGCCCAAGTTTAAATTCAGTCTGTTGAAAGCTTTTTGAATTATTCATGGTGTGTCCCTAATGTAGTCGTGCTGCAAACTGTAAGACTGTCTTGGTGCAAATACAGCCCAGCACACTTCACTTAATGTGCAAACCTCACTTACTGAACATTATTGTGACATACTGTGATACATTAGTGTGATACAGCCTCTCCTTGTTTTCCATTAGCACTGCTTTAATCTCGTTTTTTTTTTCTCTATTGCACTTAACCATGCATTTCAAATATAGATTTATATTTACATTTAGAAACAGTGCAGGTGTTCTAAATCAAAGCAAGTGCTTGTAGATGTATTTTACACAACCTGTGTATTTTGCATAACAAGAGCAAATACCCAGAAATTACAAACACCTTAAGCTAGCGCCCACATAGCACTGATCTAAAACATTGCAGCCTTTGTGATAGAGAATGTTATACAGTGTTGAGGAAAAGCTATTAGTTCAATAATTGGATTCTGCAATCTGGCCTGTTAGAGTAGCTTTCTATTTCAACAACTACCTCCTGGGACATCAGCCATTTGCCAATGAATCCTGTTTCCCCTGACTAGAGATAAAAACTAACATGGACTTGGAAGGTCTTTCTGCTCACAGGCAAGTTTGTGCATTGGGCCATATATCCTTGAGCTGATGCTACTACAGCAGATTCATATCACACAGAATATGAAAAGGTTAAGAGACCAAGAGCAGCTTGGATAGAAAGAATGCATCAATGATTCATGGCAATCATAAATTCCTTTCTACCTTGACATTTACCACTACCATGTGTGACAGTAATTTCTTTGTAAAGTGCAAATACTACGCAAGATCAGCGCATGGAGCTTTAGTTCTGACAACACCAAACAAGTGACGTACCATTAGTGTTAGAACAAGTGCAAATTAGATGATGCATATTTAAATATATTTATGCCCCCCCTGCTTTCTCCAGTTGAAACAGAAACCGAACAGAGCAATGCTCCTTACCTGGGGGGAGCCCAGTCATGCCGTGTACAGTCCAACAGGGTGCCCACATATGTCTTGTTTCTCCAAGTAACATTGACCACCAGCATGCCTGCGAGACAAAGAATAAAAGAGGTCATTTATTTTGTGCTAACCATGACAATAACATACTACACATTAAAAATAGATATATACAAACAACAGAGAGTGTTTAACAGTGGGATTAATATATAACCATCTGCACTATGTGAGCAATAAGTTCACCGTGGCTGCTGCGTCAATGCGTTGATCTTTGCTAAAGGGTGTCACATGCAAGACAATTATATAAGTGAAAGATCCTTTTTTAATCTTCTTCAAACAGTAAAGCCGGAGGGCCAAGACTGACTGATATCTTCTAAATGACTTGGAACAGACTCAACTGCAGTCAGTTTAGTAGGACCTTTATAAGATACCAGCAGAAGGTCTCACTAAGAATGATCACACTGAGGTTACCAGGGAATACTCACTGAACACCATTTCCATTTAAATAAGCCATCTCACAGTACAGGCGATTTCCCCGAAGGAGAATTATTTGGAAGCAAATATTTTTTTTCAGTCCTCTATCTCACTTTGCAGCCAAGAAATGTACTACCTTGGGGAGAATATGGATCTACTACTACAGCTTCTTAAAAACAAGCAACAAACACTTGGATTAAACCAATTCAGTGAGAACGGTTCAGTTTGACAGACTGTAACTGAGTGTGCAAGAGAAGTGCCTTGACTTCACTGGTACTGCTGCAATCTGTCACACTTAGAAGCTTCGATGTTGCCATTTGGCTAGTGTGAATTTGGTAGCACTCGGTGTGAGCTACACAATCCGACCTGCGCTGACTGCGATACCCAACCTCTCATTTAAAAAAACTAAAATTAGTTCCAGAAGATCACACGACCCTCTATGTATGTTTCTCCTTAAGAAACCAAATACTGTTTCTCTGGCAGCAGCATGTCATCAAAATGTCACCATTAAGTATGCAGATTTGTACAAAATGACTGAACTAAAACTCTTCACCACGTTGGACATTTATAACTGCAGTAAAGGCACTTCACACTAATGCAAAAAACCAGCAGAATGGCTGCCGTTGAAGGCCATTTTAAAACGGTCAGCATGGGTGAGGCAGATGAATGATAATTTGCAGCTTTTGCCCATAAATTCAAAAGTAAATCATCAACCAAACAGCTTCAGAGGATTAGCAGCGAGCACTGAGCACAAAAACATTCTGAATTTATTGCCCCCACCATCCCCCTCACTCCCTGGTGGTGACCTCAGGTTGCCACTTCAGCACTGCAGAGAAACTGGAGGCTGCAGTGAGCTAACTTATCTAATGGCACAGGAATGCTGGCTGGCAGCTTCCGTCCCTCCGAGCATTTTATTAGCTTAGGAAACCTCTCTTGCTCACCCCATTTTCCCCTCTCTCCTTCACCCTCACCCTCATTTCCTCTTTTCAATGGTATAACCATCCCCGGCTTACAATCTTTTTTTCCCTCCCACACACAAGTCACAGTTCAGACCTCATTTTTCTCTTGCTGCCTTTGGCATAAAGCAGCGAGTATATAAGGCATTTATATATGTTTACAGGAACCTGCTGACACTTGGCCACAAGTCTCTTCCTTCAGCCTATGGCCTGAAAACAAGAGTGCTTGGTCAAGGCGAGATCCAACTGCAAATGTCGTTTATGTGCGCGCGGGGTAGTGGAGAGGTTCTTGAGTTCGGATTTCTGTCACATTAAAAGAACACAGACCTTTTCTAAAACGCCTTCAACAGCCCGCCCCCTGAGCTCTCCAAACACTCCAACACAAAATGGCTCTGGCAGCTGGTTGTGGCAGGATGTAAATCAAGGCAGGGCAAATGAATGAGTAGCCTTTCATGATGTGCAGGATATAGTCTTCCCTGCTTTCTCCAACGAGGGGTTTAGAAATTATACCATGAGCTGTTAGAAGTCTTTAATCATTCTAAATGAACATTCGTTAATATGTTTCACCGTTTCCTCACTTCAGTAGCTGTGACAATAGAGGAGGATGGATAGAAGTGTAGACTTATTATTGTCAGCATTTCCTTAAAGAAATAGTGAAACATTTCTGGAAAATACACTTGCTTGCCAAGAATTTGTTTTTATGCTAAGCTAATACGTTGTCTGAATAAAGTTTATGAATCCAGCAAGAAACAATAAACAGACGCAAAATCAATCCTCTATACTATTTATTTAACAATTTATCGAAGGGTACGTGTAGATTACTAAATAAAGTACACATAAAAAAATGCTAGTATTCTAAAATCAAATGACTTCTAATAAACACTGTATTTTCATTCCAAGAGCTTTTGACCTTTAATCATTTATAAATAACTACTGGATATACAGATAAGTCAGAATTTTAACCCTAAGTTGACACTGATACAGCGTTGAGTCATCTTGAATATTCAAGCTCAGTCGAGCTGAATTAAGAGTATCTCAAAAAACAATCTTCAAGCTACTGCAAATGTTTTCTTTAAACGTGACTCAGGTCTGACCTTTGGCTCAGTTATCAAGGACTTTTACAACCGTGTTCGGAAGAAATTCCATGGTGTAGTTGTAGCTGTGCGATACGGATCACTGTCCTGTTGGAACATAAATCTTTGCCACAATCTGAATTTGCATGCATTTCCCTCAACTACAACTCTCAGGTGCCTGCCAGTGAAAAGCAGTCCGCGGCGTAGGGTTGCAAACACTTTGCTTCATAAACGCAAACGTGGACGACGGGTGATGAATCAATCGACCTTATTGAACTTTTATGCTCTAAATACATTAAAGATTGATTGAGTTAGAAGTGCTTAAAGTGTTATTAGAGAAAGATGAGGAGTAAACACCTCAATCATTAAGCAGCGTATAAATACTGGAAATGTACTAACACATGGATACACAACTGTTAATGGACAGCCACCAACGAATACTCAGCAGATAAAACTATAATATAACCTTTAAAACCAGGCCAATAACTTCATTTTCACTACATTCATTTCTTAGCTTCAAGCTCAGAATCTTTGACATGTCCTTCTGTAGTCTCTACGCTAGCTGTTTTATGTTTATTTTCTAAGAGTGACCGCCTTCTCGCCACATGTTGGAGCTGAGGAACTCTGTAATCCTGTCAGAGTGGTCCTTGGCTTCTGGGTCACCTCACATCTCTCTGCCTCTGCAATACTTTCTGTGAATACTAATAAAGTAGTTCCCTGAACGTTATGTGGGACATCTCAAGGACATTCTGAGAAATCTGTGTGCATCCTAACTCCGATGGGAATGGTGCTTAAAAAAAACAAACGACATGGTTACTCACTCAAAATGTTGCAGCACTTCATGTTTAATTAATCCGTTTTAAAAAGGAAGGCAGAATCTGTGCTGCTAAAGGCTTTCAGTGTGTATATGCTGACAGAAACTGAAAATGAAAGACCAAGTTATCATATCGGATTCTTTATCTCGGGCATAAGTCAAAGAGGTTTTCATTGCTGACACCTCAGAAGTTGCATCAGAACTCTGAAATTCAATTTCCAAGCCAAACAGTTTAACTCTTTTTAAGGTCTGAGGTAAACACAGGCTGGATTATTCTAAACTAGTCGAAATAATAATAGAAAAATGACTTTACATCATTATTGCAACAGTGTAATTTCTGCTCAATTATCTGATTTTCTGAAGATAATAATTCTTCTGAAAGTGAAGAATAACAATCAGTTCTACTCTACTGCACGCGAAAGCGGAGCTTGCTTTTACAAAATGTACCTTGTTGAGGTGACAGTTTCTCTTCATTAAGCAATTTATTAATCATTATTGTGCTGAAATTGACTTATTAAACAATGAATTTATGTGCTGACTGCACATCCACTTGGGCTGGTGGGCTTGGAAATAAAAAAGCCGGGGATGGTGGTTAAACATGACGGGATGTTTTCAGATGAGCAGCCAGTGAATCCTTTTTTTTTTTTTTTATAATTATTAATAACAGTTGTTTCAAGCAGAATCTACTTTTGACATAATTTACAGCACATTGTTTTGACTGGACTACCTAATAAGAGTCTCTTGAGAGGGGCGGATATGAATTCATAGAATTTCTTGGCAATATCATAAAAATATGCTCAAGGGTGCGCAAAAAGATTAAGATTAAGTTCCAATGCTGAAAGCTGAAAGCCATTCGAATTTATCTGTACACTTTCATCCTAAGAATAATTTTCAAGCTGTCAGGACAAAGATGTCAACGCCTAGTCTGTCTAAACATGGAAAGCTCTTGACAAAACAGCCCAAACAAATTTCCCCGTGGCAGGAAGCGACTCACACAAGAAACTGAGATGACTTTCCATTCATGATCATTTGTTTACACATGGGGAGTTACATATTAGTGTTTCTGTGAGCCATGATCTCGGGCTTTACTGACTAGATTTGTTGCTAGGGAAGAAACAGGCTGATTTGGAGCAAACCCAGTTCCCACCCCCTCTTGTGTCAGCCTTATTAGGGTCACTCATGACAGCTGAGTGAAGCCCACATTACTGAGAGGAATTGGCCTGCAATTTTACCACTCATTTCCTTTCAATGCTGTCGAAAACAACAAATGGCAGCTCTCTTTGTGCACCAAACTCCGCCGTCTACTTGTATAGGATTACTTGAACAAGAGGGTAAGGGGACAAATTAAGTCAGGAGTAGGTTGTCTGCTGCATGGGTGACTGCCCCCTCGGGCCCAAAAAGTCCCCCTCCTCCCTCCTTAACACATTTCATTAGGTTGCAGTGGGGCCAAAATATCAGGTCCTCTGCTGCTGGTGAGGGCTGGTTCACTGAATGACCTCTGCTCTGCTTCAACTCAACAGGAATTCAGTGGGGTTAATGGCATTTTCACTGACTGACCTTGTCAAAATGCCTTTGTTATCTTTGAAAATGGAAGATCACGCCTGTGTAATGATTGGGTTTGACATTATATGAATATTGTCACAAATTTCAGATTAAAAGGTTACGATTTGTATTTAAATATCTTCAGGAGCCTTTTGCGACTGAAATTTTAATTAAGATTAAAAGTCTCGATTTAAAAAAAAATAAGAATACTTATGTGAACAATTACGAGCAC